AGAGAGTTAAATTATTCAACATCTGATTGTACTTAAGGATATGTTTAGAGAGGTGAAAGATACACGGGCGAAAAAACGATTTCAGATAATTCATAACATTCATAACAAGTTCAAATACCGAGCAATGCCAGAATCAAGATATACAGATTAAGAAAAGAATATGTACAGCGACAACATGCCAAGAAATAAGAAGAAAACAGTGCAATATATAAATCATGTGACGGGGATCTGGAAACAATTAAAGGAAACAGTGAAGGAAGTTATTATTATTGAAGATGTTCAAAATGTCGACCTGCAATATCAACACAGTTTCTAGTTCTGCATAGAAAGGAAGCCCACACTATTTCAAAGAGCCCATTCTACTCGTACATAAACCAGAGATCTAGTCTCCACCTTAACGATAAGTCTGCTGGAAGTTTTTTCCAGGAAATCAAGATATGTATGATTGTTTAATGGATGTGGTAAAACAGTCAGTCGTAACAACCTATCCCTTATGATGTGTAACCAAATGTTAAGACTAAAACGCTATTGATGTCTGGTTTCAACGACCGCTCGAAAATTCTCGTCAGACCACACAAGCTTTGGACCCTTGCACACTGCAAACCCCCCAAAAGCATAATTTCACTCATTCGCTCTATAAATAACAGAACTATTTTATTTACAATTATCTATATTATCTACAAAAGGATTGTACTCTAGTTAAAGTAAAACATTCTAAGTTTGCATATTTAAAATTTGTTCTTCCATCACCGGCGAACATGCAGATCTATGCCGTCCGCTATCATAAGACCTTTTTTCAAAGGACCCAGTTTCCTTTAGACTGTGAAAACCGTTTGAGGAATTACATGTGAAGAGAGTTTCTGGTTGAAAAATGTTTCCATATAGAGATGATGTGCATTCAAAGCATTCCCATGGACACAATCGTTCATGAACACTCAAATTTCCCTACTCAAATACACAAAATTGCAAATCGACGGAAAATTATTTGAGTACTTATGTTAAAATAATGTAAGTCACGCAACAAATTTGTAGTAATAGTTAAGTATTAATAGTAATCGGTGTTGTAATAAATAGTTTTTGTATCGTTAACAATTGATTTGCAGACTCATAAATGTTTAAACGTTGTTTTGAAACATCTTGTGTAATACTTCAAGCCAGTCAGATCATGGTAACGCTTTTGATCTCAGTAAAGCTTCTAAATTAATAGAATTATTATCAAAAAGCAGTATTTAGAATGACCATTTCAAAGTATTATTCTTAATGATCTTGACCTCATTTCACCCTTAAACCTAAACAGTTATAATCTTTCTGAATCCGACATAAAACTATTCAACCTAAGCCATAAAATTAACTACCCTCATATATAAAACTTTTAGATATAGAGATTAAAATAATGTATAACAATAACTTCATACAGAACTTTAACGTCAATCACAACATTATTAATAACATAAATAAACCTTAATTATATTGTCATCTGTTCAGTTCATTGAGAGATTAAATTTTTCAATAATAATAATTTGAACTATATCATCAATATTTTATCCTTACAACTGCAAATAAAAACATAGGATTTGTATTGCTTGTTCATAAGATGTATGTATAACTTTCAAAAAGATAAATAACCCGATTTTTCCTGGCCGCAATCTTCTTAAGAAATATATCAAAGAAAATCGATATAGATAGTCTATAATAATTCTGTATTATTTCAAAACTTCATAAAATTGATAAAAGCACAGTAATTGGCATTCAAAACATGAAGAATCAGGAATCTACTAAAACGCTTCTTAGGTTCATTGATTTAATGAAATTAGTGTGAAGACATATTCAAAATGACTAAAGCCAGAAAGCGTTTAACTTTGAAAGCGTTTTATTATCTTTTATGTTGCATGACAATAAATGTCATGTCTTTAAAAGTTGGGCTAAAACACCCCTAATTAACACCTTACGAAAAAAAAGTGTTGTACAGTCGAACCTTGATAAGTGGGAACTCTGTGGAATACTATTAAAGTTTCTCTTATAGAGGTATCCTATTAATTTGAAATTAGGAAAGGTTTTACTAAGTAAGACCAAAAAGATTCTGAACTAAGAATCGAACAATTCGAATAATAAATATTCGTATATTGACTACAATATCAAAAAAACATCAGAAAAAATACTTAAGCTTGTATAATTAGAATTTAACATATGTACTACTTTACCTATCATCAACTGTAATCATTTAAAATGTTGTATATCTTATCTTTAACACGAACAGAATTATAAAGAAAAACGAAAATATGCAAGAGCTCTGAACTATTATATCTGAGCATCCATAAATACAATTTCTTTCTGTACACTAAGCCAAGTCAACCTATTACTGCAAACGTCCCAAAAGTATAATTGCACTCATTCGCCCTATAAATAACAGAACTATTTTATTTACTTTATAAATCACCACCTCTACAAAAAGATTGCACTCGAGTTAAAGTAAAACATTCTAAGTTTGCATAAAGTTGTTTCTTGAAAGCGATATTAAAAACAGATAATTTGTCTATATTTGTCTTACAATTGCATTTATATGTTGACAGGCCTAAAATTTTATTGCAGTGTTAAAAGGTGGTGCGCCATCTTGTTGGAATAATTGCCGTTGGAATTGAGTTGGGTCAACTTTATAATATCGTTTTGAAAAAATCTAAACATCTATCTCCAGTTAAGGTTTTCTCAAAAAAGAAAGGACCCATGACGGTATCCCGTACTATTTCGCTACACTCATGGATCTTTTGCGGATATTGGGTGTGCGACTTTCTTGTCGATTTTGGGTAGCCCAATACCGACAATTTTGTCTATTTACTTGTCCACTAAATGTAAATGTTCCCTATTCGGAAAAAATTATGCTTTTGACAAAGTCTACATCATCGTCGCAAAATTGTTGTTGGAAAAACTACGTCTCATTGGTCGTGAATGAGAATATGGGAATGATATATTGTAGATTTTAAAATTTTGTGAATCATTGATTTACTAATGTGCAAATTGATCTAATACCTCTTATAGTAACATGAGAGTTTTCTTGCCCAGCCAAAACCACGTTTTGATGAACCTTCCCTGAAACATTTGGTCGCCCAGACTTCGAAAAATCTCGTAGATGCCTATGCTTTTTAAATTTAGTCATAGCTAGGTTTACCATAATTTGGCTAATAAGTTGATCAAAGTCAGGATACGAACACACTGTATAAGAGTAATGCCATGAACACAGATAACACAGATTAGTTATCTGCATTATTAACGTGTTTATTGACCTCAGAATGTCTTGTACAAAAAAGCCGCTAAATAATGATATGTAAATTACGAATAATTTTCTAATTAATAGAGTATTTCTAAACTGAAAGCGATAACTATTTTTAGAAACCTATCAACGTTAATACATGTTGCCAGTTTAATTGGGATTGGGAAAAGTTAAAAAATGAAAAGCATATTTCGGCTCCTATAATTGTTAAATATACGGATAATAATATTCAAATAATTGAAGGTTATTCGAACAAAGATTTAGTATATTTTGAATACTACGAGGTGTTTCAATAATCAATTTCTTTTTGATATTTAAAGCTTAGGAGTTTATTTCGATGATTTTTTTTCGAAGAATGATACTACAAAATAAATAATGAAAAACATCGGCAGATGTAAAGCATTATCTCAAACGATTTGACGATGTGGCAATTTGATATATTATGGCGCAAAGTTTGTAATACTACGAGAAGTTTGAAGACCGTTGCATGAATGTCGTTATTCTGCTTGAAAAAATTATAATAAAATTGAAGCCTACATAAATAATGCAATCATGTATACTTGTGAAAAATTCTCAAGAACCTATAGTTAAAGAATTCCTTATAAATAATAAATCTGCAATTGTGGTTAAGAGTAAATGCATTTTTTTTTAATCTTAAGAAAACACTAAAACGACCTGAATGATTTCACCTGAAATGTAAAGAACTAGAGCCAAACACTAGTATACGATGACATTAACTTCATCAACATGATCCACCCCAGAAAACATTACGTTGTTATAAGTAGTTCTATAATGACATCTAAAAAAAATAAACCGGGATAAAATTACCAATTTTACTTTTGTTACTTGTTACTTTATTAATTTAAACATTTATTTCGAAGGTGTAAAATGACAATGGCTATATTGTCAATACATAGGAATGTATAAAAAAGCATTATCGAGTATTTTTTATTATTAATTAAGATTCACTCAATAGCTTCTAATAAAAAATAAAAATAGTCATTACGTCTTAAAAGTTTATATATAAAACCAGTCATTGTCATTGTATAAAATGTAATATATATATATATATATATAAATTGTCATTCAGCTTACTCAAAGACCCGAATTAACCCTCTGTGGAGTTGTATTCGTCGCCGGAGGATAGCGGATGTCGCAATTAATCAATTTCGATGTTGAGCATCTTACGTTAATGTCTCCATTATTTATTATCCCATTGGTGTTAAATTGGTTCAACGTTAGCTTGGAGTCAAATCCAACCATTTCTTTACAACAGCCATACTGTAATAATCATCGCGTTTTTCAAGAGTTTCATATTCTTGTATTCTTCGTGGTGGAAATTTCGATTTAAAAATTAATGAATAATTTTAAGGAAATTAACTGCCATAACGTTTTTATCCATTAAAAGACAGACGTATTAGAATTCTGAACAATGCTGATTAACTTTCAGTTGATTAAACATATTTCAAACAAGATTTTGGTTCCTATTGAATAGAGATAAACTCGAACATTGGAATTGGGGCAAACACATACACACTATAGGTAGTCTGCAGTATTAGGACCACCGACTGTTCCCTATCTAAACACTGTTCCGGTTCATTAAAGGATATATCGTCTCCCGTGGACTACTACGTCCCTTTCCCCATGTAATAACCAAGGACAAAGACACCATGCTGGTGCCGATATTGCAATATCTACACAAGCCTAACGAAATAAATATGAAAAAGTTACTTACTTTCTTTGTATTGTAGGACGTTGGCGTGTTTCTCGTGGATGACGACGCAGCGGTAGCAGATTCTCTTGCTGTAACATAATTTTCGCATAAGTCCCACTTATTCCCCACTACAGAGGTCCTAGTAATTACGTGCATGCACTGCGGTGGTTAGATACGTAGGGGACTAGTGGGGAATGAGGAGGAATCATGAATAGATCCCTGTTCTTAGGTATTGTGGAATAGAATTACACGTTCGTATACGTATTTTATATGGCAAGTGCAGATATGTTAAGACCTTTCAAGCACGTGCTTGTTGTTGAGAAGCCTTTCTTAGCAAATGTAATGCATACTGGGATGATAGAGATGTATATTCAGGAACATTTTATATTATTTCAACAAGCAATTATGAATACTTAACCCTATGAAGAGATTTCGTGAGAGGTTTAAGTAAGTAATTATGCGTATAAGATGACGTGCTTTTAAAACAACGACGAATAATAGGAACGAATGTGGTAATTAATAGCGTTTCCATTTTGTATGCTGAAAGGATTTAAATTTTAGTGAAAAGTAGTTTAGTATGTGAATATGAATTTGATTGAGCGACACATATTTTGAACTCCCTCAGCACTCATCTGCAACCGAATGGATCGCTTTTAGTGTCGAGATTGGACGATAAATCATTGTGCAACCGCACCCCGGCGACTGTCAGTTCAAAGCCAAGCCCGATTGGATTATTGAGGATTAGGACAGAATTGTGCAGGGTGGGAGCGGGCAGGTGCATTTTCTAAGCGCACCCCGTTTGCGGTGACATGTCCTTGGGGATCTACTTAAGCCGCATTCGCGCAATCCAGGATCACTCCTTTGATATTAAATCCGTCAAAGAGAACATTGACCATTTGCAGCTATATATATATGCCAATTTATATAGCCATTATGAAAATGTGTTGTGAATTTGCATTTAAACGGCTAGAATAATTGTATACGTAGGTATCGGTTAAGTTTTACATGGTAAAATCTTTTAAAGGGTAAGATATAACAAAGCCATTATAAATTCTCTTTTGTAAGCTTGAACAATGAATGGATTGGGTTTCTCAATTTGTGGATAAGAAAACCTTACATTTAAAAGATAACTTAACAACATTTATTAACTTTTATTACATATTTGTTATAATCTTGTTTATGAAAAGTATTTCTGTAATCGTACTTTTGCTTTTAGGATTTAGGAGCGATAGGGCTAAAAGAGTAAAGAGAGTATCGAACCGCCAAACCCCGCTATTTTGTTTCCGTTAACGAGCGCGAGAGGGCAGTAATCCGCTAAGCTAAGTAAATAAAGGGTTAACTTACTCGTCGACGACGAGGAATTTGTCTCCCTCCGAACCGAGGCATAAACCCTTGCTGCTCAGCCTGGATCCTTCGATCACGATGGGTTGGCGCACCCCCGACTGAAACCAGGTTCCTTCCCAACGCTCTGGGAAGAAGCATCCCCCTGAAACAGATAATATTTCGCTTAAAAAAAAGGGTTGAATACTAATGGGCAATCAGTAGGTCGGCAACGGGTCTCGCTATTGGGTGATCATTAATCGGGAGGATAAATGGATTACGAGGGCTGAATTGAGCGTGAAGAGAATTACTGATGTTTCGCTTCAAACAGACATTTGAAAGGGGTAACATTTCAATTGGGAATCATTTTAATTGGAGTGAGCTTTAAAACTACGAAATGATAACGTTATAATTACTAATTGGACTTTCTTGATTAATACAACTTCGAATATGTACTTTCAACAGATTTTTCGGATTATTAATAGGCAATTGCGTGAACTTGGGCACTTTCGATGTGATTTACTGTGGGGGCGGTTGAATAAAAGTCGTTTATTTGGCGAACGGTTTCATATCCTAGGGCAAACAGGCAAGTTATGAGCAGACGGCGAACTTCTTTTAACTAGCGTTGGTGAATTATTCGTCACGAACACGACATGAAATTCCATGGAAGACCCATTTTGGTAGTTCTTATTTATCATATAATAGATGGTATTTTTATTTATTATTATTTTCGAGTAGATTGTAATATTTTGGGGTAAAATATTTTGGTTTATGTGGTACAATTTAGGGGTAATTCTATATAATATTATTCATGTGTGGTTATGCGTTTATATTAAAACTTATTCGGGAATACATTATTAAAGTTAATTTACACTAAAGTTTTAACGGCTACAGAAAGCTCCTAAATTCAGGTGTATGGTAAAATAATCGTGTCGCCATATATTGAAGCGAGAAAATAATCTCATTAGGAATAGCAAGTATTAATTAATATTTTGAAACATCGATATTTTTACATAAACCCATTGTATAAAACACCTTCCTTGCTAGTACATTTCGTCAGCTTTCTACTTCAAACTATTTGTCACTTACAGCCCTGTTTGGACTGATGTCCAAATCAAAAATTTTCGATTCATTTTATTCAAAATTTAAAGTTATTTCTGCATGTTGCAAGGAGATTCAAGAGCTGGGCTAAAGCCGTACCATATTGGTAATTGGTTATTGCAAATTGTTCAAATAACGAACCACGGAATAAAAAGTTGTAGCTATTATAACGTACAAAGATGAGTACTCTACGTCAAACTTGATGTCAAAACAAGATAGAATTCAACCATTTATAGGATCCAACGTTTCGTTCAATTGGTACCTATGATAAGTAACTTCATATTTGATAATGTCAAAGCTCTGGAGATGGTTCATTCCAATCCCTAAAAGACGCAATTGAAATTCTGCAACCTGTGGAGCAACTAATAAAAGAGCTACGTAGCAAAAGAATTGTTAGTGATTTTAAAATAATTTCAGCAGTAAGCTAATAAGTATTAATATGTTAATAATATTTGCGCGAGTAAGTAGATACTAATTCTGACTATGAGCAGTCAACACATGCTACAACACCAATGATCCTTTAATTTGAAAACCTTTGATTTTTGGACTCATTACAAAACGTTAGCTCGCTCGTATACACGGGCGAGGACAGATAAACTTGAGCGTTATATAGTTAAATATCGACTTTTGGTCTTTACGGAAAGAACGTAGTATTAGTAAGTCGGAGGCCAAAGCAACACCACAACGTCACCAATCGCTCACCATTATAATAACAAAACAAAATAAGGTCAAAAAAGTAACGAGTAACTGAACATCAAATGATACTACTATGACTGCATGTATAATTTTGGTCCATGATTTTTAAAGTTGTTTAATAAACGATAAAGTTGATGATACTGAAAATAATGCTTTTAATATTACACTGAATATTGATATCGATTTTAATTATTCCAATGCTTATAACCACGTAAAAATAAATAATGATTTGAACGAACAAGTTAAATTGTATTTTAAAAATATAAAAAATATTATATTACTCCTATTATATATTTTTTTTATTTAAAAAATGACTTTTCAAATTATACCGAGATTTATATGTATATAAATCCGGAATTTATCTTGCAACTGTTGAACCGGCCCTTAAAAGATGAACGTTGTCACATTAGCATGCATACACACCTCCAACATTACACCTCGGTTGACATTTTAAATATTTGGAAATGCATTTTGGATTGAAAGCTGGATCTTCCAAATATGTGTTTATGAGGCTTTTAAATAATTTAAGTGAAACTCTTTTATATTTATTAAGTGATTTAAAAAAAGGGATTTTGAGATTAAATAAATGTGAATTTTTAGTCATCACTAATCATCTGTGGCATACATGCAATAGAAAAATTTTCATTACCTTATCTTGTTAAACAGATACAATTTTTATACTTCAGTTTATACTTTCGAAAATTTATGATAAAGTTCCCAATAATTGCAAAACTCCTTTATGACTTAACAAAAAGAAATGTAAGGGAATGGAAAAGGTCAATGATCAATACCTTAGGAATGAAGTGCTTATCACTAATCCACTCCATCCTAGTCCACATGCTTACCAGAAAGCAAAATCAACAATTACTGCTCTCCATGCTTTGACTAGCACTTTAGAGGAGACAATTGCAACCAAAGAGATAGCCCTATGTGCTTTGATAGACATAGAGGGTGCTTTTGATAACGTCTCCTATGAATCCATAGAGAATGCTCTAAACAAAAAAGATATACATCCGTTAAAAGATGTCCCCAAGGGGGAGTACCCTCATCTCTCTATGGTGCCTGGTAGTTGATGAACACCTTAACAAAAAATGGATTCATGATTCAGGGGTATGCTGATGACCTGATAATCACAATCCGAGGTAAATATGACACAATCATAACTCAACTAATGCAGAAAGCCGTAGTACTTACCAGCACTTGGTGCAGAAGCAACGGGCTAAGCATCAAGCCAAACAAAATTGAAATAGTCCTCGGAAAAGGAAGCTACAATTGAGAGCACCCTCCATTGAAGGCAGGATTATTAACCTCAAAACTGAAGTTAAATATCTACGGGTAGTACTAGACAGTAAATTAAACTGGAACTCCCACATAGACAAGGTGAGGAAAAAGGCCATTATGGCTAACCAGATTTGCAGCAGGTTACTCAGAAGGAACTGGGGTCTTAAACCACGAATGGCTCATTGGGTAACACAACATAAAACTTGGGTAAAACACAAAGGCTGCTTTCGAAGCCCTACTCGCTCTCACACCTCTCCATTTATATATACAAAAGGAGGCAGCTTTCAGTGCCTTATCACTGAAACAGGTTCTTCGCTCAAGTTGATGCAGGATAACCTCAGAGGACACCTCGAAATCCTCAAGGACCTATATCTAAATTACTTGATTGAAATGAAAACGGACCTTATACTGACAAAATGCAATTTCGACCAGCCGTATAAGATCACATTTAGTAGCTAGGATGATTGGACGAAGGGTGGACCTCAACTAAAGAGAGGAGCCCTAGCCGGGTACACCGATGCTTCAAAGACAGTTAGATCCGGAGTAGGCATGGGCATCAGTGGACCAAATACCCACATTAAATTGCCCCTCAGCTCGGACATAACCATTTTTCAAGTAGAAGTTCTGGCTATAAACTTCTGCACCGCTTTAAACCTACAAAAGGGACAGAAAGGTGCATCCATAAACATTTTCACAGACAGTCGGGCCGTCCCAAAGGCAGTTCCAAAAATACCACCTCTTCCACATTGGACAAGTTGAGGATCAAACTTGTCGACTTACTGTGTAATTGCTTCGCCAGAAGCTGTCTGAGACACAAATTTTTCGGTAAAGCTCTTTTGACACCTACCGACATAAAGGAACAAGACTTTGGGACAATACTAAGGTTCATTAAGGACCTACATTTGCCCTAAACTTTTGAAGGGCTAAAGTTACAATAGATCTTATAGGCCGCGGTAACGAGAGGGGGCGCTCCCCTCGGCCCGAAAATTCCAATTTGGAAACAGTAAACCCATTAATAGATCGATGGGAATTAGAATAGCAAAATTACGATTATGAAGTAAAAATCAAGAAATAAAATACATGTTGACGTCTTAAATAGAACTGCAACGATTCATGTAATAAATTATAACTGTTTAAAATTCATTTTATTAATTTGGCAAAGCGAATATAATGAAAGAGCTAATTTCTAAGATAGAAACTGGAAATAATAACGAATGTGAAATAAGAAATAGATTAATCTATGGAATGAAAAGAAATAACTTACCATGATGAAATAGGACAATTAGGATTACATAAGACTATAATAGTATTTTATTGAAAAAAAAGAGAATATCACATCGTATTTCAAAAGAAAATTTTTCATACCTTACATATTGATCATTTAGGGCCAAAGATAAACAATATAAAGTTAAATAATACATCCTTGTTCTAATAATAATTGGAAATAATGTTTTAGATGTTGAATCATCTGTTATTCAACATCTAAGACATTATTTCCAAAATTATAGTGCACCTAATGTTCTGATATCTGATAGAGATACTGCATTTACCACCCAAGAATTTCGTTTATTCATGAATGATAATGATGTCCAACATGTATTGATTGTAAATGTCTTCTTGTAAAAGACTATATCTTTCTAAAGATATACTGGTTGTTTTTAAATTGATGCGAAAGATTTCAAGATTTAAATATTTAATATATCAATACAAAATCGTGAGGTTTAGACGATTCGAATTCGCCTCAAGCGACCTCGTCGGTTTGAGGGTAAATATCTTCTATTAACACACTTTCTATCTTTACCAAGATATAATATAAGGAACGATTTTGCTTCAACTCGCCGAGGTTGCTTGTGAGCGTTTCGCTGGATTTGATATATCAATACGAAATCGTCAGCTTTGGAGGATTTTGGTCTTCTTGTACGAAACTTTCTATCTTTACCAAGATATAACATATATAAGGGACGATTTCGCTTCAACTCATCGAGGTCGCTTGTGGACGAGGCGCTGCATTTGAAATATTAATACAAAATTGTTAGCTTTGGAGGATTCTAACGCCTCGCCCGCAAGCGACCTCGGCGGTTTGAGGGT